TTGCAAAAAGTAAAAATGGTATCTCCACGTGAAAAGCACATCGGCATGCAGGCCCTGGCCCCGTGAGCCTCTGCACTCAGTCGTTTCATCAGCCAATCTACCTCCTCCTTATCTGTTCACTGCTGTTTACCAAACTTGATTTGGGCACCATACATGTTTGTGGCTGGCTATTTAAAACATTTCCCATCAGCTGCAAGCAAGATGCCTATTTATCTTATGGCTGCAAGCAGAGCTGAAATGATCTGGCATCGCCACGAGGCGGACAGTTATTTCATGCCCTGTTAATTCCTAATGCAGTAACTACAATATCATTCCTACTTTTAAAAAGAGGTGCTTTTTTTGTTGTTAATATGTGGCCTAAGTGCCCAAATAAAGAACACCATCCTAATGAGCCCGAGTCCCCAAACCTAACCTTGCTACCCTGCTGCTGCACTAATGCCGGGCGTCCAGCGAGGAGGCARTTGGTGGAGAGGAAGAAGCAAACCCTCCTTCATTTTAGGCTGCACAGACAGGTCAGCAAGACTCAACTTTCTCTTCACGTCTGAGAGTTAGTCAGAATGATGGGCTGGCGTTTCCACCCAAAGATGGTCCTGGCCAGGGCGTTCCTTCCATGGCAGAACTGGCCGGGTGGTAGAAGGTAGGTCTTGGACAGGCTCCAACAGCATCAATCCCAGGACCACCCACAGGCCCCAAAGGAAGGCTGCCTGCAGCTAGGCACACCTGGAGAGCAGAGGAGAGAAGACCCCAACCCAGGAGGCAGATATCTAACCGGCAGAGGGCTGCGAGGAACACTGACACTCACTATTCTGGCCACCTGTGGCTTAAAGTCACATGAGCTATTCCTCATAGACTGTCATTGCCCACTGATATCTCCCATCTCTGTCCTGTCACCTGGACGGCTCCTGCTGTGTCCCTCCTCTGTGTCTGTCATATCTTCAGGCCTCGGGTGCCCCCCTATGGACTTCACAGGTGCCTCCCAGCACAGCCTCCGAACCCTGAATTCAAGGGCACACTGGGCTTTCTGTCTCCCCATGAGATCGGGGACCCTGTACTCTCCGTCCCTGTCACAATCTGGTGGGTAGAAGGCCTCCAGGAACCGGCTGATGAATGGAGGATTTGTGCCAAATAAATGTGGGCCGACTGGGCCTGAAAATCAACCCATATCACCCAGGTGCCGGAAGCCTCTGGTCTAAGGGCAGAGCATGAGCTTCAGAGCCAGGTGGACCCAGGGCCAGTCCCAGCTCTGCCACTGACTTGTGGCATAATGTGGTGGAGAGAAGCCCTCTGAGTCTCAATCTCTTCGTCTATAAAATGGCATAATAATATGTACTTTGCATGGACTTTTTACAAGGATGGATGAGATGGTATGCCTTGTACACGGCCTGTGACTGTCCCTGTGTAAGCCCATGCCCATGACTGTCCCCAAGGGTGGTGGCTCCTGTCTGTTGTGGGGACCCAGTAGGAGTGGGGAGCCAAGAGCTGTCTGGCTTCTGAGATACCCTGGCACTCTGAGGAGGGAGGGGTAAACACCAGACAGGGCAGTGGGGCCAGCATCTGGGGCAGAGAAAAGTACAGGGAGCCTGGAAGGGACTTCCCGTGATCAGCCTCCCCCCAGCTGACCTCCCCCGGCACAGACACCTGCCATGCTGGTCCCCAAGTGCTTCAGAGAGGCTCTCTGCTCTCAGGGGGCCTGCCTACCTCCACTGTCCCTCCCCTGGTGGCTCCAGGTGGACAGGCAGGGATCTGCAGGGAGCGAGGCCCACTTCAGACCTGCTAAGATTTCATCTCATGAAGCTGTCATCGCAGCCACTTTCTGTCCTCCCTGCCAACCTTTGTCATCCTGGAACCTTATCGAGCTAGCTTCTCCTCGGAGCAGTAATCATGGCCCTAACAGCTCGTCAGCTTCAAACGCGCTGCCCCCATCCTGTGCCTGACGGAGAAAATCAATGTGGAGCCGGCCTCTGAGAACAAAGGAAGCTGACGCGGAGCCAGGCAGGGCTGGAGGTCCTCCTGGCCTGGGGGAAGGCTTAGGCCGTGATGTGGCAAATGGCAGATCTAAATATCTTCATCACGCCCCTGAACTGAGGGAACTGCGTGGGTGGTAGGCACCCAGCTCCAGACCCTAGGCCAGACCTTCTGCCCCCTCCAGCCGAAGGCAGGGGGAGGCATCTCTGCCTGATGATGGAGTACTGGTTAGTACTAGTTACTGCCTGATTGAATCCACTGAGGGAGGAAATGGGGTCCCAACTGGGAGGGACCCTCCTCCTGTGAGGCGCAAAGCCCCTGTCTCTCCCCGTTATAATTTCTCAGATGGAAATTGCTGCCCTCTGGGCTCTGCGACTCTGGACAGAAGAGAGCTACTCAGGAGCACTGCCGGTCAAGGCTGATCACCTGGAAGTCCTTCTCCAGGGAGGTTTGAAGACCCACACCCACCTACAGCATTCACTGCAGAACCTCCCACCAGCAAAAGAGGGTGCCCATCCCCCACTAATAACTGAGAAAAACTCAGATTCACATTGGACAGGGTACCATCTTTCATCCATTAGTGTGAAAGAGGGTGAGGGGGAAATAGTCTTTCCCAGTGCCGGTGGGCATGTAATTAGTACAGTCAATTAGGAGCAATTTGGCTCTCTCCAGCAAAACAGAAAACCCCCGTACCTCACAACCCAGCAAACCCTGAACCCAGCTACGTGTGTGCACTAGAGACATGCGCATGAGTGTCTATGGAACGTTGCGTGTGATATTGAAGATCTGGGAGGCATTTAAAAGCCCACTAGAGGGGACAGCTCAAGGATTCACCCTTTGCGATGCCACAGAGCCATTAAACAGGATGAAAGGGCCGCAGCTCAGCCCACACTCTCTAGGGAAAGGTGAGTGACACAGTGTCATGTGAGCGACACAGATGCAGGCCCTCCACCCACTCCAGGAGCTCACTGCCCTCCCGCCTCTCCCAGAAGCATCTCTGGTCGCTGCAGCCCACCCCAGACTCCCAGGACACTGATCCTAGAATCTCGGCACTTATCAGCACTATGCGTGGCCTTTGTGTACAGACATGGCTGTGTCCTTGAACTGACCATGAGGACAGAGATCAGGGCTTCTGATTTTTCCACAGACAATACACAGTCTTGCCAAAGTAGGTGCATGGTGGGTATTTGTGGCCCAGTGAGACAATTCCCTGAGCTCGGAGGAAAGGCAGCCTCACAACATGTGGCCATAGGTGGCCTGGAGACAAAGCTCCTGTGTCACTTCCGAGGCCTCTCCCGAACCCACCGCCTGCATGGCCACTGCTGGTTCCCTTCCTCCACATTGTGCGGGGCACGCTGCAGTCCGAGAGTGTGAGACCACAAATAACTCCAAACGTAAATATGGCCTAAAAATAGCCATAAATCATTGTGATTCCATCCGGTGACAATTCTAATTTATAACACTAGGGAGGAAAATGAACACTGTGGCTTTTTCCCTGGGCTGCCAAGGAGGAGGCCCACCTGCTGTTACTTACACCTAGAAGCTCCTGATTTACGTATTACTAAAGATGAAATATGCAGAGGCCTCCGGGCACAGGGCTGTTGGCCTGGTTTTGTGTGGATTCTGCAGGTCTGTGGGTCCCCACGTGAGCAGACCCTCCCTCCTGGGCCCTACCCCTGCTTTCCCTCACTTTCTACCTGCTCTTCCATGGTGGGAGATCCGGGTCCTCCCTGAAGACCAAATCCCCCTCCCTCTGCCCCCTGCAACAATGGCTAATATCTGTGTACGGTCACCAGTCACAGTCCTAGAGGAGGGTCTGGAGAGCATGTTTGGGTAATCTGCATTTTAATGTTCCATGCAGTCAATTAAATCATGCTGTGCAGACACCAAGCACAGGAGAGTTAGGGAGCTGGGATTGCTCGGATTGGGACTTCTCTTTGTTCATCCTCATAAAGCATTGTTACTGGGTGTAAAAAAAAAAACCGTATACACATAAAACAAAAGTCATCTCTCTGGGGAGAGGGTAATAAAAGCCATTTGATGCTATTTTTAGCAGTCATCAAAGCACATGATTAACACAGAAAAAAAGCATAATGACAAAGTGCATCACAAAAACCACCAGTGTGGATGGGTGACCCATGGGACCAAGAGTCCTTGCTACCTCACCAGGGTGGCATGCTAGAGACTCAACACTCCAACAGACAGGACGCCTATCTTCTGCATTTGAAGGTAGTTTGAAATACCAGGTAGATCACAAATCAGCTTCTCAGCTCCTGGCCACGGGCAGCACTTGCACAGCCCTGGGGAAGGCTCTAGGCAGGACAGGCAAGAAATGCAGAAAAGTGGGTGCTGGCTGACTGGCAGGCCCACGCCCTCTCCCTCCACTGCTGGCACACCTGGCTTGGGCCCTCAAGTGCCCAACATCAGGAGTGAGGGGATTCCTCCAGGGCCGCCCACGGCTGAGAACCAGAACAACAGCAAGAAACTCAGGCTGCATCCAGGGGCCAAACCCAAGTTGCCCAAGAGGCCCAGACATTTCTGCGATGCCATCTCCACCACAGCCCAGCAAGAATCACACGCACTTGTGATCCCAGCGAATGATCTTTAACCTCTACCAGATGAAACACCCAGAGGGAGATGGAAGGTGTGTCGGTAGAGGGGTGCAAAGCCCTGCTCTGGGGGAAGGGGTGCCTCAGGAGGGAGGTTCCGTGGGCTGCTTCCCCTCTTTCCTGACACCTGCAAACTCCCAGCGCACCCAGAGGCTCCTCTGTGGTAATACCATATGCCATTCTGCAGGTACCTTGCAGACCCCCATCTACACACCAGTGACCCCCTAGAGAGCGGAGGGCTCCAGTCACACCACGACTCACTGAAAACTTGAATGGAAGCAGAGAAACAAAAGCAAACCCCAGGGTCTTGGCAAACCAAGATTCTTTCAACAGAGGTGGCTGGCATCAAATCACTCTCAGCAATTCCATTCTCCAATATAGCCCGGAAATGACATTTGGGGACAGTAGAGCCTTTCTGCTCTTTACCTCCACTCCCTGGACCTTGAGTTTCATGTGGTCCTCTCGGGTCGTTTTCCCATCCTTCCTCTTTTTCCAGCAATACCCATCTTTCCTGTACTTGACTTTCTTCCTGTTGTAGAGTATCATTGAGCCATTCTGTGGTCTGCAAACAACAAATGGTTAAGTTACCAAGAGAACCAAGTAGAAGGCAAATTTATGAAGAAAGATATTGTAGACCAGTAAAAGTCTCTACAGAAAAGCAATATTCCACATTTGCTGGAACATAATTTTTCACCTTTTATTGTAGCTCCCTGGATTAACCGTGTTTTATGGCCAGCCAAAATTTGCTTGTGGATTTGGTACCTAATGAATTAAATGTGTCAATGATAGGCTTAAAAAAATCCCCTTAGTAATATCCACAAACTAATCAGAATGTACGATGTGGGGGCCTGGGCTGTGCACTGAAAAGGAGGCAACCGGAGGGAGAGAGCAGGGAGAGCCGGGGTGTCGTGCAGCCTGCAATATCTTATCTCCTATAGAAGGATTTCTACACATCTTTTAATCCATCACCCAGCATTAGGAAATAAATAAGTTTAACGCAGGCGCTAGATGACTATGTTAAGAAGRGACCAATGGCAGAGCAAGTTGCCGAGGCCAAGCTCTTGACTCATTGCCTGCCTGTAGATTACTGCGAGATACGGGCTAGCGGCCCAGGCTTCCTTCCTGAGCAAGCCAAGGCCCTGATTCGTTCCCACCCGGGCTTCAGCTGTCAGTAATGCCAGGTGAACTCACCTATGCAGCCCATGGCCACAGTATCTTGGGAAAATAGTTGTCCCCTGGCTAAACGCTAAGAGTACGGTGGCCATTCTGTGACCTTTAAAAAGAACAAACCAAAGGAACCTTGAATTTTCTAAAAAAGAAAGCCTGAGCTGGCTGCAGAGAGCAGAGGATTATTATGTGCATCTCTGCAGCTGCAGCGGCCACGTATTGGGGTGGCAAACTCTAAGGCCCTTGGCAGCTGAGGGCCAGTGCTGTGGAAAGCCACTTCCAGAACAGGTGGAAGCAGGTGCACACAGATCCAGCCTTGGGGCCAGCACACCCCTGCTGCAGGGCCAGCTCTGTGGCACCCTGAGCCTGAACGCCAGCCCTGGAATGCCGCACGGTTCTGCACACTGGCCAGCATTCCATCTCGCTCTCAGCAGGAAGAGAGCTCTTGTCACAAATAAGGCAAATGAAGTGGCTTAGTCGACGGCCCTGGCTGATGTGTCTCTGCCACAGCCAGAGGTGAGGGTGAACACGCCAGCCATGCCCCTGAGCAGGGCAAGCACCTCCAGCCTCTTGCTTCCCTCCCTCCTCTGAACAACGACCATTTCACTGGCTATCAATGGCTTCCTGCCACCCAGCCTGTGATCTCTCCAAGGAGATCACAGGCCTGAGCAGCGACTCCCTGCACTCCATCCTCTCCCACAGGGTGCAACTGGCTTGTGTCCCTGTGCTTCCTGCCCTAGGCCCAAACCGACTAAAAATCAGGAGGCAGTGCCACTGGCCTGTCACACAGGCCTGTCACAATGCCGTGACCTGACGGAATCTGCCTGCACTTATGAGTCTGCATGGAAAACGGTACCATTCACTTCCATCTTAATGGAAGGGGGCTCCTCTTCAGCCTGCCCTAGGCACACTGCAAGCCCCCGTCCCCTGGAAAGACCCTCAAAAGGCCCCCAAAGTCCAACTACTATGCTTRAGGCCACGAAACTAGTAGCACCTCAGGAAAAAGCTAAGGAAAGTGTTGGCTTCAACAGACGAAGCATGTGCTTTGTTCCCTCAAAGGAGGAGTGACAGCACCCATGGCAGAGTCCTGTAGGTCCCCCATCAGGAAGACCTACTGCTGTGGGAAACCCCACCCAGCCTCTAGGGACCAAGACCAGACGTGATGTGCTGCCTGCCTGCAGCTCCACTCCTGTCCCCTGCGCTCCTCAGGCTCAGTGCCTCAGGTTGTCCTGAGGTGTGACCGAGGCGGGCTGGGCCCCAGGGGCTGTCCCGCAGCTGGAACCTTGGTAGCTCCTCAGGCCAACTGTCCCCAAATCGTAATGGCCCACAGAGGGGGACTCCCCAGAACACTACCAGGTGCACAGGTGAAGTCACAACTGCACCCCGCCTRGAGACCCATCTTCTTCTGGACACCCCCTCTTTGGCCTCGGARAATGGCCTGTCATCTGACCCTATGAGAGGGACAATCCCACAGGGAGTGTGTCTGGCTAAACAGCCCTGCTCAACGGCCTTGTCATCTTAACCTGCAATGCGAGCACCCGACAGGGTAGCCGCCCTCCGGTGCTGTTAGAAGTGCCCCTGCTCTGCGTGGCGGGAGGGCCCCTCCTTAGCGCGGGGTCCTGAGACAGAAACAGACGGGCTGTGGAAGGGCCCATGTGCCCCGTGAGACTGCAGAAGGCCTCACAGGGAGCCAGAGCAGGCCAGAGGGGGCCGAGGGAGGAAGGAAGAGGGGAGGGCAGCTCTGGGAGGAASGAGGCAGGCTAGGTCACACCTCAGGACGACCTGAGGCGGCCTGAGCCTGGGGAGCGCAGGGGACAGGAGTGGAGCTACAGGCAGGGAGCAGGGCAGGGCTGTGYGGAGGCGGACTGCAGTTCTGCCACCTGATAATACCACCCTTTCTGGGTACGGCCACTGACTGCAGCGCCCCAGGCGGGTCTGGGTCTGCCTGCACCTGTATCTCTGGGTGTTTCTTCACTGCACGCCAACCCCAGGAGCAGGCATATATTCCCAGCCTGTAAGCAGCTCGGCACAGGTCCGCTTCCCCTAGCCGTGGCTGCTCTGGAGGCTCTAATGGCCTTGGGAGTAGCCCTCGGTAGGAAGCTCCAGCTGCCCACTGGGGACACTGGCTGGCGGTGGTGTGTACCCTCCTTTCCTCTTCACTCCCTCAGTCCCCAAATTGTAAACGACCTACTGGTGTTTTCTTGGGTCACCTTCGATAAACCTCTTGCCCACAAAGCCTCATCTCCAGGTGTCCTTCTGGGAGAAGCTGTGCCAAGGCTACAGCATGGCGCAGAGCAGAGGGACATCGAGGGGAAAAGCAACAGCAGGAACCCTGTCCTAACGGGGCTGCTAGCCAGGTGACCTTTTATCCTACAGACAGCTGGCTCATGAAGCCAGCAGCTCTCAGGACAGTGGGCTGGAAGACCACAGGGTCAGCAGAGCCTACCACAAACCCTAATGGTGAAGACACAGGCCCAAAACAAAGACAGGCGCTGCTGGTGACAGGTTAGATACGCAGGGGAACGTGGCTACGCCTATTTACTATAGAGAGAAAGAAAATCAAGCACCCAAGCATAAATTTATCAGGAAACTCCCAAAACCTAGAGAGAAAAGCTATAAAACTATTTTAAAAGACAAAAAAGCAGGTTTTGATAACAAGTCTCAGTTGGAAAGTGTTAAGGTTATAAAATGTAAATCTTCCTAAAGATAACTTATAAATGTGATATGATGTAATAACAATGAGAATCCCATCAGGATTTTTTTTTCTGTATCTAGAACATTTTATTATAAAGTGTATTTGGAAGGAAGAAACACCAAGAATAGCCAGATAAACCCAATGAAGACKACCCTACCAGCTCTTAAAATATACTGTAAAACCTCTATATTTAAAAAAACTATTGGCTTGACCCATAAATAGATAGGTCAACAGAATGGAAAAGAAAAATCCAAAAATATCCCCAATTACACATACAAATTGAATATGCATAATAAACAAGGTAGCTCAAGGCAGTGGGGGAAGGGGATCAGCTTTCCACTGAGTGGCTTTAGGGTCACTGGATAGGAACACGGGAAAGTGCATTGAACTATCCCTTCGCCACACAGCAGCAGCAAGTCCAATTGGACCAGAGGTTTCCATGGAACAAATAAAGTCATGCATACTCTAGGAGAAAATAACTCTAGGTGAATTCTGCCATAACCTGAAAAGAGAAAACTTTCCTGACCATAATTCAAAATTCAGCAACACTATGTGAAAGACAGATACATCAGATACATAAAAATAAAACTGCTAGACTGTTTCCAGAGGGGCTGCACCATTTCGCTCCTGGGAAATGTGTGAGGCTCTGATTGCTCCTCAGCCTCTCCAACACTGGCTCTGCCTGCCTTCTGGATGGCAGCCACCTAGTGGGAGTGGGGTGGTTTTAATCTGCATTCCCCTAATGACTAATGATGTTGAGCATCTTTTCATGTCCTTATTAGCTATTCATATAATTTCTTTGGTGAAATGTCTATTTGAATCTTCTGCCCATCTTTAATTGAGTTACTTATCTTCTCACTTTTGAGTTGTAAGAGTTCTTTCCGTAAGATCTGAGTGCAAGTGCTTTATCAGATATGTGACTTGAAATGCCTTCCCCGAGTCCACGATTTGTCTTTTCTCTTTCTTAATGGTTTCTTTGAAAAAGCAAGATGTTTTCATTTTAGTAAAGTTCATGCTAACATGTTTTTTTCTTTATAAGTGTCCTAAGAATCCCCCTAAGAATGTTTTATCTAACCCAAGGTCACAAAAATCTTCCTACATTTTCTTCTAGGAGTTTTATATTTTTAGCTCTTACCTTTAGGTCTCTGATCCCTTTGCACTCATCTTTGTGTGTGGCATGATGTCAAGGTCTAAGCTGATGTTTGCTGTGTGGATATCCAATTGTCTCAGTACCATTTGTTAAAAACAAAGGAAAAGAAAATCCTATTCTTTTCCCCACCCACCCTCCATTGAGTTGTTTAGGTATTTTTGCTGCAAATAAATTGGCAATAATCATAAGGCATTATTTCTGGACTTTGTATACTGTCCTATTGTCCAATATCACATCTTGATTGCCATAGCTTTAAAGCAAGAGTTAGAATTAGAGATTATAAGCCCTCCCATTTTATTCTTTTTCAAAATCGTTTGGCTATTCTAAGTCCTCTGTGTTTCCATATGCATTTTAAGATTAGCTTGATGATTTCTTGGGGGGTGGGAAGCCTGCTGGGATTTTGATAAGAGTTGCGTTGACTCTAGAAATCAATTTGGAGAGAATTGCCACCTTAACACTATTGGGCCTTCCAGTAGCTTCCAATTAAGTGGTTTTTAATTCCATTAACATGTAATGTCTCTCCATCTACATAAATCTTTAATTTCTCTCA